TTCTCAACGTATCAGTTTCCTGTGGCTGCTGTAAGAAAGTACCACAAACTGGGTGGCTTTAAATGACAAAGGTGTATTCTCTCACAGTTCCAGAGATAAAGGTGTTGGCAGGGTCTTCCTCCCTCCAAAGTTTCTAGAGGAGGATTTGTTCTATGCCTCTTTCCTCGTTGCCATCAATCCTTGACATACTTGGCTTATAGGTACACTACTCCAGTCTTAGCCTCTGTCTTCACACGCTGTTCTCCTGTGTGCCACACATCTTTGCATGGATTTCTCATGAGGAAGGACACCAGCATTACTTTTAGGGTCCATCCTAATCCAGTATGATTTCATCTTAAACTTGACTGTACAGTCACACGTATCACAGGTTAGGACTTCAACATATCGCTTTGGAGGACACAATTCAGCACACAACACTCAATAATGGTAACAATAATATACTGTGTGGGTTATATAACTGTCATGTTGGATTTTCACAACCCCAATATATTTTATATATTATATTCCTTTTGGAGTAGTGGGCATTATGAAATCCAGAGAGACTGCATGATACTTTTGGTCAAAACCTATCACTTCCAAGCTTCAAGGGATTCTACCATGTACCATGAGCCCAGTATTTGGTGAACAAGTACATGGTCACCATGCACGATATTCATGAGTATCTGGAGTCCTGGCATAATCCCACCGAGACTTAGTCTCACACATGATGGTGGAGAAAAGTACTGTAGCAGTGCCCAGGTGCACAGAAGCACTACCCTTCAGGATAAGTAATCAGACCTTGGCCTGGAAACCATCACTTTAGGGCAGGCTCTAGAACCAAAGCTCCATGCTATGCCTACCTGATCTCACTGCGGCAAGACAGTGAGCTGGCTGGGTGGCATCAGGGGAGCATCAGGGGGGGCCATTGCCCCTCTAGAACAGGGCTGAGTCTCATCATTGCCATGTCCCCAGCAGGGTACTGAGCACACAGTGTGTTTGTTGCACAGTGTGCTTGCTACAGAGATGCTTGTTGCAGGCCAGCTGAGGCTGAGGGACTGAAGTCCCCATACTGAGATCTGCTGGCAGATGTAAGTATGGGTCAGAGGTGACCTAAAGATGGCTGGGTTAGGATTTAGAAGATCTCTGCCTGAGATCTTCTCTTAGTTCATCGGATTTCTCTCTCTCTCTCTCTCTCTCTCTCTCTCTCTCTCTCTCTCTCTCTCTCTCGTTTGTGTTAAGTCTGAGTTAAGACATAATTATCTGAAGCAGTAGTTTCAAACATTGGAAGAAGTTCTTGGCAGCACAGCCATTCCATGCAAAGCTCTGTGTGGAAGGTCCATGTGGAAGGTCTATGTGTGAAGTCTTGCAGGGAACTCAGAGTCCTGGTGATGGTGAGGTGCCTCTTCCTCCTCTCCTCTTCCCTCTCCCCTGTGCCCCAACAGTGACCCCTGTGGCAGCTCTGAACAAATGCTGTGCCTGCAGAATGCAGACTTTGCTCTCAGCATCCCTGGGGGAGGCAAATCATCTGGTACCTTGCAGGAACCCATGCCAGGGACAGTGTTCTCCTCAAGCCCAGTGTCAGCCCTTCTCTGCCCACATGGATGCAGGTTCCTTCCCAGGGAGCCCCATCCGTTCTTCACCACCCTGAGAATTCTTCCTGCATGTTCCCTACCACCCAGCAGAACAAGCACTTTCTGTGCCCCTTCCCCATGCCTGCACTGGGGAGCCAGGACACTCAGAGCACTTCGCAGTCACCTGGATGCGTTGGCCGTGGCCCTCCTTGTCCAGCAGCAGGACCTCCCTGGGCAGCCACAACTCTGCCTGCCATGGCAGCAGGCCACCTCCTTTCCTTCTGTTCCCCTCTGCAGGGCTGGCCACCATCCTCTAAATTAATAGATTTCCTTTCACATAATTGAAGACATGTTAAGTAATCATCCCATAATTACCTCTGAGCATCAGAAGGCAACACTGACAATGTGATGTTTGAAAAGGCAGAAGGGAAGTTTAAAATTCCCAGGAAAGAAAACACCCATCTTGGTGTTTCCCTGACTTTGCGTTTCCTTTTGTCTTTCCTCCGAGGTGAGGTCAGTGTCCCCCTGCTCTTCCGCTGAGTGGGAGAGCCGGTGTGACAAGCTATCAGCTGCCTGTCCGGGGCAGGGCGGGGTTTGGTCTTCTGGGAGACCTGGCCACCTGCTGGGATGGAGGGGGTGGCGGTGACAGGCCACACTCCGTGTTCAGTGAGGCCCAACAGCGCAAGGTGGCAGAGGGCTGGGGGCTCTTGCCGTGGGCCTGGCACTGCCCCTCTCCAGGCAAGAGGGGGCAGCTGTCACTGGCAGACCCTGGGGTCTGCTCCAGACTTGGCAGAGGAAGACACTTCCAGACTCCCGAATCAAACGCCTCTTTGAAATTCAGAAGAACCACACTTCCATCTCCCTCCCCGCTCTCTGACACACGCGTGAGCGTGCACACACACACACACACACACACACGAGGATCAGCAAGCCCTCGCTCTCTTTCACACGCAGACCACGCCACCACGTTTTCTCTGTCTCTCGGCCTCTCTCACACGTACTGGTACTGAGAACTTCTCACACAGAATCTCATATTCTCTCTCTCTCTCTCTCTCTCTCACACACACACACACACACACACACACACACACACACACAGAATCATACCAATTAAACTGCTGCTCTCTCCCACCTCACTTAAGCCATGTATTTTGAGGAAACAAAACCCCTCTCCTCTTGGGGAGTCCAGGTCGCCTCAGAATGTGGCAACAACCGCCCCCTCCCCCAATGGCGACACACAACATGGGTCCCTGAGCTATCAGACACAGGCCTGCAGATGTGCGATAGCTCCCGGTTCACTGGGTGGATTTTCCACCTCTCTTCCCAGCCATGGGTACCATGTAGATAAAACCAGTAAATTCCTTCATGTTCCGGAGGATGGTGAGAACAGAGCATCCGTTGCAGCCAGCCCAAGCCTGCCCTCCAGGCATTTGTCACATTGCTGGCATTTGAGCTGAAGACATCTCCCATCACAAAAGCCTGCCGTCATCCTCAGGGGAAATCAGGACTGTCTTCTTTGCAGGAAGCTGGAGATGGGCCTAGGGAGGTCCAGACCAGGTTGGCTTTATTCCTCTCAGGCCCCGGATAGGGAACCAGATAAAAATATACTTTGCAGTTTGCTCCTTTTTTTTCCCTCTCTCCCTCTGGCTCAGATTAACCATTTATACATTTTTAAGGTATTTTTGCTAAAGTCCACCATGTATTTTGGTGATTTGAGCAGATTGTAAGAATGGTCCGTATAAAAATAGTCTCTTTGGGCGGAGGCATGAGGCAAATGTAGAGAGAAGTAGGGGGCAGCCACCCTGCCCTGCGCCACCACTGCCACCAATGGCCACAGGTTTCATGTCCTGTGGGGTAGACAGAGTCCGGGCGTAGAGAAAGCACTGTAGGGGCAAAACCCTGGTACTTAGCTTGAAGAATTGAAAATGAGGGTCATATTTGCTCTGGAGAATGGTGAGCATTGGAGGGCAGCCTCAGCGAGTGTTCCACTTTAATACCCATGAGCGGCATGGATGCCCGACAGGAGAGAACGTGCCTGCCTCCTGCTCCACGCTCAGCTCCCTTTGCTCCCCTTAGGGATTCTGTGCTCCAGCCATCGTGGGCTGCGTGCAGGCCCCTCCCACCCCCAGCCTGTGCACGTGCTGCTTTCTGCCGGCACTTCCCTCCTCCCGTTACTTTGCCTGGTTAACTTCTACTTGTTCTCTAGGGCTGAGCATAGTGAAAATAATAGTTAACACCTGACTGTGCTGATGAGAAACTGAGGCATGGAGAGGTAGGTTCCTTGCCCTCCATGACACACGTGTGAAGGGGCAGTACTGGTACCCACACCCAGCCAAAGGCTCCAGGAGTTCTCAACCACTGCAGGAAACTGCCTCCCTGACTGCCCCTGGACATCCTCCCCGATCCCTCGCTATGATAGGGAGTGTCTTCTGGTTCTCAGAGCACTCTGTACCCACCCTCATCTTCACCTTCCTCTCTCTTCAATTTTTTTTTTTTTTTGCAATGCATTTTAAGTTTCTGTTTTCTTGTCTGCTCTGTTCCACCCTCATCCTGTGCAACTTGAGGGCAGGGACACTAGGTGGCTCATCTCTAGGACATCAGCTCTTCAAATAGGACCTGGCACAGGGCTGTGGTTATTGCTTATTTGTTGATGGGATGAATAAACGAATGGACGGATATCAATCCGTTAAGTAAATGGTGCCCGTCAAGGTCTGGCAGACAAGCAGAGCTAAACAGAGAGCCAAGTCAGAAACTTCCAGGGTGGGGTCGGAGGGCAAGAAGGAGAACTTAAGGGTGGCCCCTTAGAAAAGCAATCCCCAGCTTCCAGGATCTTCACCTCTGCTGAAGGACAGGCAGGACAGCCAGCATGTAGAGAGGACACAGCACTGGGACCATTAAACCCTACTGCAGCCCAGGACTGTCTGCAGGCTGCAAAGTCCCCCCCGCCCCCTGAGGTGGGTCACAGTGGAAATGATCTTGTAGGGTAGGCTCCTCCAGGAGGTCTGCCTCATCACTCTTCTTTCTCTTTTGTGTCATTTTGTTTCCCCTAGACCCAAAGGTTGTAGGTTTTGCATTGCCATGGAACAAAGGCAGCCATAACTTGTATCTCATGTAGCCAATCTCATGTAGTTCTAGTGAGCTTTCTATAGTTGCACACTCTCCTCATACTCTCTTCTCACCTCCCCACAACATTAGCATTGTATGTGGTGAATCAGGGCACACGGGCTGTGCCCAGTATGGCGTGAGACCAGCCTGAGCCATGCTTACCTCCTTGAGCTCCTCTAAATAGGCACAGCAACATATGGCTCCTGGGGACAAGGACTGGCATGGCTGTCCTAACTCACAAGACATGGAAAGATATGGGAGTTGGGCTGTGCACACCAAGTTGAGTTGTGCCTGCCTTCAGCCAGCAACCTGATGGTTGTCTGACCATGTTTCTCCTCCTTCCAGGGCGGAAAGATCCCCGTGAGATGGACAGCTCCAGAGGCCATTGCCTACCGCAAGTTCACTTCAGCCAGCGACGTTTGGAGCTACGGGATTGTCATGTGGGAAGTCATGTCATTTGGAGAGAGACCCTACTGGGATATGTCCAACCAAGATGTGAGTGTCTGCAGTACCTGGTTGCCACAAACCCCCTTCCAACGAGTTGTACATGCAACAGCATACCAAGCCCTCCTGTTTTCAGCTCAGGGCCTCCTAACCTGAACTTGAGGTGTTCAGGATAGGGGATAGAGGGACCCCCTCGGCATGGATATTTGAATTAATAAAAGAGCCCAGCCTACAGATATGACAATCCCAATGACCATGAAGCCTATGAAGGTGCCTAAGCCACAGACTCCAACCCAGGAGACAACAGGCCGGTTCTGAATGGCCACAGATCATGAATAGGTCAGGCCCAAAATTAAGCGGGAAACTCTACCCTGCTTCCCAGAGTCTGGGATCTGTGTTCCTCTTCCTCATGCACGACAGAAGGGAAGGAGCACTGGTCTGAGGGCCAGGGCCTGGGTTCCCGGCCCGCTCTACCTCTGACCACTGTGCACCATCAAGCCAGTTGCAGTTTCTGTCTGGGACTCACAGTCCTCAGCTGTAAGGAGGGGAATTGTAAGGAGCCCTTCTTCCCTGAGAGTTCACTCTCTGTGAGCCCATGTCACCTGTTAGTAAAGGAGGAGCTGAGAAGGCTGCCCAAAGCTGGTCAGCTCCAGATGGGCCACAGGAGAGGGGCCCCACCTGCGGGGGGTCAGTCCCCTCCAGGCTGCCCTCATGGAGCACGGGTGGGAAAGGAAAGAGAAGGGTTACCTGAGACGCTTTAAGTAGAGGCCTTTTAGGAGTGTTCCGAATGGGAACCTCTGCTCCATGATTACTAAAGGATGGGGAAGCCTTTTTAGGATGATTCCTTTGATAAGGCTCCAGTGGAAAGCCCTGCCTGGATGTTAGCACTGTCTTTGACCCTGGGCCATTCCCCAGGGACCACCTCTCTTTTTGTGTTTTGAATATAGACCCTCCCCTTGGAGCTGAGAGGATTTTAGCTTGCAAAGCCCACATATGTGTGCTCTCCACTCATTCTTCCCATCACTTTCCCCAACTCATTGTTCCCAACTCATAGGCTCAAGGAGGAAGGGCTGTCCCCAGTCCAGGTCATCGTCCACTGCGCAAACAGCCACACTGTAAACAACTCCATGCCTAGACCCTGAGTCACTTGTAAGCTTGTGAAATCCATAAGCCCTCTGCCCAGCCAGAGGTTTACCACTGTGGCAGTGGCTCAGAAGATGGAGAACGGTGGCAGTTTCCCAGTGAGACTGTGCAAGAGGAGCTGGGGTACTTCTGTGACAGTATTCCCCGCTGCCTTGGGCAGAGTGGCTCCAGCCTGGAGTGGGTGAAATGGCTGCATCATTAACCAGGTCCCAGTGACAACCACAGGTAGTGTCTTGTATCTGGGCAGCCATGCCTTGCCTCTGCCCCTGTGGCCTGCCAAAGCAGTAGGTGTTGGAGTTGGCACAGAGGCTGCTTTCATGAAATCGGCAGCACCCTGGTTCCGTCCATACTGTCTGCTAGATGAGTAAGGAATGATAGCCAGAAAAAGCAGACCCATCTTTTCTTGCCCAAGACCTTAATCCGATTAAGAACAATTCAGCTCACAGAGAATGGATTACAAAACCGTCTGGCAGGCAAGCTTTAACATTCGCAGTATTTTCTGTCAATGCATTTACCTATGCTGAAAACAAATGTTACAGAATTTCTGATATTAGACTCCCAGAATCCCCAAATTATTCCTGCAACATACACTAATGGTATGCTAATTGTGACTCAGCATTGTGCTTGCTAGTTCTGCTCTTGAGGGGTTTACAGTCTGGTGGCGTATGCATGGGGCTTTGGGAACATTTGAATGAGGAAGGGGAAGGAAGGCTTCCCAGATAGTTGACATCTGAGATGGGTCTCAGAGGGAACAAGAACATCTGTAAAGTAGCAGTTTGTTCTGATTTTACTGTATTTCTCCAAAATAAAGCCCCCAGTGCAATTCTGCTCCCTATGGGAGGCAGGAGGTGACTTCATGCCCATTCAGAAAGCTTCTTATAACCTGGCCTGGGAAAGAGCCAGGAGGGGCTCCCAGCCTCTGGGCTGCAGCTTCACTCATCAGAAACCGCCGAGGTGGTGGCGGTAAAGGATGTTACAGATGACAATTGAAAGGCTTTAAGGAAGAGAATTGCAGAGGCAAGTCGGAGTGCTGGTAATTAGGCTTCCAGAGCCCAGGAAGGTCTTTGAACATGAATAGAGAGTTTGTCAGCCAGAGAGAGCAACTTGGAAGTTCTGCTGCTTGGATGTGATTGACAGAGATAATGAGAGTGGCAGTGTCTGTGGAGAGGAGCTGCGGTTTTATTGAAACATCAGAGCTCAACTTAACCCGCTCTGCCCTGGTTCCTCCACTGCTCCGAGCTCCTCCACTTCACTCTCCTCAGTGGAAGGTCGAGGAGGCACCACCCACAGCCCAACTCGCTAATGGGAAATCCGTGTCTGAGACCAGCCAGGAGCCCCCACTGAGGATGCGTGGGCGAGGGCAGGGGCCCTGCTATTTTCCCAGAGGAGCCCCAGTGACTTCAGCTGTTGCCCAAGAGCACCTAGGGGTTAGACCACCTGTGTCTGTCTCCACCCAACCACCACACCTACTATCTCTGGATACAGGTGAACTAAGGTGACCCCTCACCCCGCCTCATCCGTGCCCATTTAGTTAGGCCCCAGGATGTTTACTTATACTGGCCTTCGGGATGGCCAAAAGAGCTGCTGCAGACCATTCCAAGTGAGACAGCAGTGAGCTCCGGGAAACAGTTGCCTAGACTGGCTCCCTCACCCACGCATCTTCACTCTTACTTCTCTCTGAAAATGTCATCTTACCTTCTTCTAATCTCTAATCTTCTCAATATTCATTTATCTCATCCTGTTATGGACCAAGGTAAGAGGCCCAGAATCCCCTCCAGTTTTCAACTGCTCAGTAGGACAGCCTATGCCCCCAACCTTGGGCCATACCTTTTTCCATACAGTTCAAACCTGGTCGCTTGGTGTTTAGAGCCATCAGATGGCCATATTGAAGGTGTTTCTCCTCACCTGCTCCCTGTTCTCCACACCTACTAGCGAGGCAGGTATGACAGAAAATGATGTCAAAGTCCCATGAGAGAACTAAAAAAAATGTTTTATATAATGATGTTTTAATTTGACTATAAGTTATGTGTACCCAGGAAATTTAGAAAACACCCAGATCCTTAAGAAGAGGATATAAATCTCCAAAGGCAGAGCACTCCAATCAGAGATTTGTGTAGGCAAATTCTGCCCATCTTCCAATTAACGACCTCAGTATTTTCTTGTTTGGCATGGAGGCTAATAGCTGTCTTGTTTTCCTATGTGCAAGAAGCATCAGTGTAAAAAAATAAAATAAAATAAAGGCTAGAGCTGGAACCCATTCTATAAAGTGAAGTATCCCAAGAATGGAAAAATAAGCACCACATATACTCACCAGTAAATTGATAGTAACTGGTCAACACCTAAGTGGACATATAGGAATAACATTTATCAGGTGTCGGGCAGGTGGGGGGGAGGGGATGGGTATATACATACATAATGAATGCGATGCGCACTAACTGGGGTATGGACACACTTGAAGCTCTGACTCGAGGGAGGAGGGGGGCAAGGGCAATATACATAACCTTAACATTTGTACCCCCACAATATGCTGGAAAAAAATTAAAAAACAAAATAAAATAAAATAAGAAGCATCAGTGCTCCTAGAGTTTCAGCTTAAGTAATAGCAAACAAAGTTATCTAGAAGGAGTAGTAAATGGAGTAAAGTTTCATTTTGTAAATATAAACATGGGAGAGGATTCCCATACCTATACTCTATCCTATAAGGTAAGAAGCGGGGACGTGGCATTTACTAAGTCTCTCTCCTGTTCTAGAGCAGGTAGGAGAGTTGTCTTATGCACAGGCAAAATTAGTATTTTGGGGCTTTAGCATTGAACAATTTGGGCAGAGGTAGCATCAGTCTAGGGGTACATTAATAAAACTAGTTGCCTTGTACTAGAAGATTTCAGGGTCCCCTAGCCCATGACAAGTTGAATTTGGACACTAGCCCCTCTTGCTGGCCCCACCTAGCTTGCCCTTAGGCAACCCAGAAAGGACTCATGGGATCATTCAATGGGACAATCCCACTTGTCCCCACAATGAGTGGAGACTCTGTGACTGGGACCCTCAGTCTGGTTGCCTGAAGGAGTTTGAAAAGGGCACAGGTTTACGTGCCAGGCTGATGGGAATGATGCCTGGCTGCTCATTCTCATGGATTACTTAGTTCCACTCCGTGTCCCTGTTTCATGTTACGAAGACCTCAAACAGCTCCAGGTGCTGTTCTCCAGGCTGAGATGATCAGGGCAGCCCCATGGAGGCCTAGTATATGTGGCTTTCCAGGTATTGAAAACTTAAAATTAAGCACCCCTGTGACTTATTCCCAGCCTATCGTCTGCTAGCTGTGTGCCCTTGGGCAAGTTCATTGACTGCTTTGCCTCCCTTTTCTCATGGGGATAAAGGGGTTAAAATGCCCCTCCTCAGAGGGAAGCGGGAAGTTTGATTGACAACAGTTTGGAAGAAACCTTGTCAGTGCTATACACTGTTCAAAAGTGAATGTTCCCAGTCACTGGATTTTTTAATACAGTGATAATATTGTGATGGTTTGTATGCTTGTTTTTCATCATACTCAAGGGAAGGGACAATGCACCTTGATTGTCTCTAATGACTTCAGGTTATTACATTATCTCATGTCCCCATAGTGTACATAGTAATTGTAAGAATGTAAGCTAATTCACTTTTTGACCCATTTATGAAGAAAAAAAATAGAATCTGAATTTTTTAAGTAGAAGCAAAAACACCAGAAAAATCCCTAATCTCCAAATTGTTTACTTTGTTGTTTAAGATGCTTTAACTATTTATTTTAATATAAAATCAATGCACGATTATTATAGGAAATAAAAAACACAAACAAGCACAAAGAAAAGCATAAAGAACATTCATGTTTCTACCTCCTCAGAGGCAACCACTATTAACTGCATGCTGTACATCTTTCCAAGGTCTCTTCTATACATGTGTATAATTGTTAGGTTTTATTTTGTTTTGATTTTTGTTTTTTACAAAAGCAATATTGTACCACACCAGCAGTTATGCAGCCGGCTCTTTTGCCTAACATTATAATGTATATCCATTTCAATAGATACATTTCTGCAGTATCACTTTAAGGCCTGCAATTGTATTTCAGGCCTTTCATTGTATTATGGGTGCAGCATAGTAAATTCATATGTTTAGCACTTGAGTCATTTATAATTACTTTTTCCAATGCAAGAAGGTCAGAGCAAATATAATTGATTAAAATGAATTAGAAATTAAGAAGTACAGGATGAAAACACAAAAATATGAAAACCAAAGTTCTTAAAGCTCCTAAAATCCTTATGAAATTATCCCCCAGAATTGTAAAAAATTACCAAAACTTGATTGGAGAGACTCATTTTGGACCACCTTTTTATTTTTGACTGTTGTCTTCATATGGAACTAGTTCATTTAACGAGATGATCTTCAGCCCATTCATGGTGCTGCCTCAGGAGGATTAAATCAAATAAAGCCTAGAAGACACCTAGAGGGTCTCTGGCATGGAGTGAGTGCTCTGTTAGTGCTGATCCCTTTCCTTCTTTCACTTCCCTTATGAGGCCACCACAAGCTTGGGGATGTCTCTTATAAATAGTGGAATCACTGGGTTTCCGTGTGCCACTGTTTCATCACCCCTGGTGCCACCAGCTTCTAGTAAGGCAGAATTGGGCCCTATGTCTTCTAAAGAGAGGAGATACTCAAGCTGTTCACCAGCTCATTCTTCAACCAACATTTACAGAGACCTAGTGTGTGTTGGGCCCTGCACCAGGTGCTAGGGACACAGAGGAGCAATAAGATGTGGTCCCTGCTTTTTAGGAGCCCCCAGTCTAGGGGGATCAACCAAGTGCACAGAAAATCCATTATGTTGGGAGGTGTGTGAGCATAGAGCAAGGACACCTGAGCCAGCATAAGCCAGGGAGGCTCCATCCTTGGTGGCTAACTTGCAAATAACTGGCTGGTGGCTCATCCATCACCTAGTCACACCTTTTCCTTGTGTGTCACTGCAGGTCATCAATGCCATTGAGCAGGACTACCGGCTGCCTCCACCCATGGACTGCCCAGCTGCTCTACACCAGCTCATGCTGGACTGTTGGCAAAAGGACCGAAACAGCCGGCCCCGCTTTGCAGAGATTGTCAACACCCTGGACAAGATGATCCGGAACCCGGCAAGTCTCAAGACTGTGGCAACCATCACCGCCGTGTGAGTCTGGTGAAACAGGGCGATCCCTGGATGTGGGTGGACCCGTGGTCAGGGGCACAGCTGGCAGCCTATGATCATGGTCACATCTGCATTTTTAAAAAGAGTATCTGGCTACTGTGCGAACTTTATGTTGAGGGAACAAGCATGCATGAAGAAAAACAGGTGGGAGAATATCGCAACTATCCTGATAGAGAAGATAGTGTCTTAAATAAAGGTAATGGTTGTGGAAAAAAAGTAGATGAGTTTGAGAGATGTAGGAGGCAAAATGTTTATGACTTGGTGAAGGATTGGATGTGCGTATTGAGGATGAGGGAAATGTCGAGATGCACCCTGATTTCTGATTTGAGTACTGGGATTCTGCTTTGAGAATGTGCCAGAGAAGGTCAGTGCCACCACTGATCCATTTTTTCAAGTAGCTGAGGATGAAACCAGGAAAACAAAATGTTAGCAGTAGACTGGGGAAAGTTGTGGTGAACTATCCATATTTTCTAAAGGACTGTATCTTTGGATGGTGAGACTCTCGGATTTCACTTCACAAAAGAGTTGGGAGCCTCCTCTTCCCTGCAGACTGAATCCTATATCAGTCTGCCTGTCTCAGTGGACTGACCTGTGACAATGCCCAGAGGTAGGGGACTGGCCCTCTGGCTTTAGAAGTCACCCCAATTTAGCATTGTGTAAAGAAGGAAGGGTTAGCCCGGTGCTCCACTGTGATCCTCAAACCGTGAGGGATGCTGCCATCAATGAAATCTTCATGAAGCCAAAGAGGGGCTCTGTCCATGTATGTGTCTCTGCAGCTGTGAGGTCACCTCTCCCCTCTGTCTCTCCAGGCCTTCCCAGCCTCTTCTCGACCGCTCCATCCCCGACTTCACAGCCTTTACCACCGTGGACGACTGGCTCAGTGCCATCAAAATGGTTCAGTACAGGGACAGCTTCCTCACCGCTGGCTTCACCTCCCTCCAGCTCGTCACCCAGATGACATCAGAGTAAGTGATGAGAGTCCCCTCCATCCAGCCCGCAGGTAGGGGTCAGGGCTCCTTTCCTGCCACTGCACATGCTGTGAGTCCTATTTCTGGCCTCATCCTCGGAGCCTCTCCTCTGCATAGAACCAAGCCTGGTGGGGGTAGGGTGCCTTGGAAAGACAAAGGGGGATGTGAGGGTGGGGTGGGAGGCAGGGATCCATTCTGGGCCCCACATGAGAGTTCTTCAAAGTCATGGACATATGTCACTTGCCTAATCACCGAGAGCCTCTCCTTCATTTAAGTTTTCAAACTCAACCCATCAAAGAGAGCATCCAGATGGAAAGAACACAGCCAACCGGCACTTTAAATAACGTAGCAGGAAAAGCATCGCACTGATTCAGCAACCATCTCCGATGTGTGGGGAGCTTGTCCTCGTACTTGGATAGCACTTGTCAATAAGCATGCATTTCCATCCCCCTCAAATTATTTACCAGTCTGCTGCTCCCAGAGGAGTTTGGAGGAATACACAAAATAAAATTATTCAAATAAGATGAGAGCCAGAAGGGGTCTTAAATATCCATGCAGTCCATCATTTCTCCAAGAATGTTCTGAGTAGCACCAGTTGTGGGAAATGTTAATAGGTTCTCCTTGGAAAAAAGGTGCCATGGTCAAATAAATTTGGGAAATAGTGTGCATTTTATCACCCTCTTGGAGATTCACTGCTCATATTAGCATTATAAAGGCCATGAAAAATCCTGAAATAGAGAAACGTACTTAAAATTATTAAATACCATGGAACCATATTTTTTGAGGGGCAGGATTTTGTGGAACTGTAGTTTGGGAAATATTTATCTAGTTCCACCCCTTCCCTTCAGCAGACTCTGAAATTATGTGAAATTGGTGCTCACCAGTGGCAAAGCCGGGGGACAAGCCTTCTTTTCTTGCTGCCAGTTCAGTATCCTTCTACCCATCCACCCAGGGACTTAGCAGTTCCCATACTTTGCTGCATAGTGGAATCACCAGGGGATCTTTAAAAAATGTTGATGCCTGATTCTCACTCCCACACCTTCTGAATAATTGTGGTGAGACCTGGGCATCAGGATTTTTAAAAGCTCCCAAGGTGATTCTAATGTGCCCCGAAGTTTAGGAACCACTGTATTAAAGTTGGCAAGGGTCAAATTTTGCCTTCGGCACTCTCAGAAACTCAGATGATCCTACCTAGAAATTAACTCTACCCTCTGCCAACACACACACACACACACACACACACACACACACACACACACACACACCCTAGAGGGCACCACATGGCTGCCTAAGCTACAATGTATACTGGCCTATAGCACACATTTCCCATGGTAGAGGATCCCTCAGTCCATCAGGCAGTTGACAAACACTTATTGATCATCTATTATATATCAAGCACAGCTCTAGGTGTTGGAATCCCCTCCTGGAGCAGGCCAGTTGCTGAGTTTCAAGAAAGAGGGGTGGTATCCACCCCTAGCAGTTGAGCCTCAGAGGGACGGCTTCCCAACACACTGACTGCTTTGCAGTCAATCTTCCTGGAGTCTAGCTCCACTTCTTGGAGGTTTATTCTTTTCAGAAATGACAGAGCCTCCACTTTTTCCAGGGAGATGGTTTGAATGTGCATCTCGCCTGAAATCCACTGAAAATCAGAATACATTTTTTAAACCCAGGTTCATTTCCTAGTGGTGCCTAAAAAAGACAGCCATTAGGAATGCCTTTCAAACAGATAGCCTACATTAAATAAATAAACAAATAAAAGGATGCACTCACCAGTGGAAAACAGCTTCGCCATCTTTCACAGCTAAAATGGGTGCCCCTAGATAATGGGAGAGTCTGGGTTCAGGCATAGAAGTGGGTATTCATGAAGACAAGCTCTTCCTGTTTCCCACTGCAATCTGCCTGCATATGGGGGCTGTTATCACATGATCACCTCACTCTGAAGGAATTCCCTTGGTCTGGGAATAGTCACATGAGAAAGATAAGGGGGAGACTAAAAGGAAAGTCAAACTGAAAATGAAGGGATTTAGTTCAAAGTAAAACATTCCTACACACTATTGGAGCCATTCAGTTTGTTTCTTGAGAGATAAAAGATGGAAAAAAGAAAAGGAGAAACTTCATAAAATAGATTGTGGGACAATTTGTGAATTCAAAATTCAAACATGCGTCTTATAGGTATTTGCTAAAAAGCCTTGGGCACTTTGACAATCTCACCCAGGTGCAGCCCTTGGGAGACTGACTACCAGCCTTAAGTGGGGAGGCAGGAAAGCCAAGGTACTATGGACAGAGAGCCAGCTCAGGGCTCAGCAGGGTCTGGTGCGCAAGGTACAAAGTGCTCAGCTGTGCTAGCAGGTCTTGGAGGGAAATGTAGTCAGGACCTTGGAAGAGTTCTTCAACGCAGCCCTGCAGGAATGCTAAGAGCCAGGTGGTCTTGTATTTGAACCCCAGCTCCACACTGCTTATCTGTCATGTGATCTTGAGCATGTTACTTAACTTCTCTGAGCCATACTTGCCTTGCTATAAATGTGCAGATAATAACAGTGCCCCTGTCATTGGTTTGCGGTGGGAGATAAATGGAATAGCACATGCAAAGTACTTGGCCCATCACCTACCAAGGATGCACACAAGACACGGTTTCTGTTAAATTATTATCATCATTGACTTTGCAGTGGTTTGCCAATTTTTATGAAATTCTTTCATGTAGATTTAAGTGAGATAGTATATGGCACATGGGATGCACTCAAGCACTGTTATATATTGCTGTTATTAGCTAAGAGAAGATGTATGGGTCTTCTAAGGTCAGATATAAGCCATTAACTTGCTCATATGAATGCTCACAACTCAAAGATTAATCTAATTCAAAATCTTATCCCAGGCATATTCCTTGGATTCCTGCTTGGGCAGATATTTTAAAGTTATTTTGAGATCACCCCTTCTTAAAAATGCATGACATTAAAATTCAAACAGAGGCAGAAAACGGAAACTCAGGGGAAAACATCAGAAGACCAGGCGAGCCCCACATCTTTTCAGTCTCGGCTGGTGATCACTAATTTAGGTAGAAAGCTCCACAGAATAACTGAAGCCCCATGGAGTATGCACTTGGAAATTTTCCTTGCAGAGGAAAATTCAAGTCCACTGGAGGGTCGTGGACACAATGAAGGGGCTGCTTCACAGCCTGTAAGTGAGAAGCACATCCCCAGAACTAGGCATAGCCCTGCCAGGACTGTCTAAGCTGGAGGGAACATCAGAGAAGCCGGCCATTGCATGGAGAAAGTGAGATTGAGCAAGAAAATATCTAATTGGGAGTTTGCAAGAAACTTGGGTAAACTTAGGCTAGTTGGACTTTAAGCACTTTTATTTATCTACCCAACTATTATCAGGAGCATGGCTCACCTTAGTGGTGAGTTTTGATCCGTGGAAAGCTGTCCTAAACACTAAAGGACGTCTTTTGTGTCTTCTTCCTTCCTAGAGACCTCCTGAGAATAGGGATCACCTTGGCAGGCCATCAGAAGAAGATCCTGAACAGTATTCATTCTATGAGAGTCCAGATGAGTCAGTCACCGACGGCAATGGCATGAGAAGTCTCGTTTTCTTGCGGGGACGAGAAGAAGAAAAAGGACCAGGGTCAAGGAGGAACCAGAGGTTGACCACTGTGGAATGTGCTGGAGAGATTGGCTTCTCGGCTGAGGAATGCATTTCCATCAGTGAAGACTCAACCGGACCTGTTGCTAATAGGCAACCTCCATTTCTCAGTGACAGAAGCATGTCTAAGATGTCGTGGGAGACCAAATATATCATAATAAAAATACAAAAAGGTGATGTTCAACAGAAGTGAAGACAAGACAATATGCATCAGGGGAGCAAGAGTGAACTCAGCTCCCACCCTCAGTGGGCTGGAGTCATCCATCCACAGGAAGAAAGGGAAGGAGGTGGCGGGAAGAAACAGAAGTAGTGTTCCATTTCTTCCTCACCAATGACATTCTTTTCTTTTCTCCTTTCGTACTCCTCCCCGAGAGCCCCTCCCTTCTCCTACACCCTTTTCCCTTTGCTCATGACTCCTGTAGGGAAGTTTCTTCGAACAAAACCCAGCTCCTGAGTCTCCAGATGTTGTTCTGTCAGTTGCCAAAGGACTTTGCTGACCACTGCATGGGGATCCAACCAATTCAATTAATGTCTTCATATTGAAGAAGAGATGTACCTTCAATTGAAAACCTTGCTTTTCTTTTGTTTGCATTTTCTGCAAAAAGGAAAAAGAAACCACAAATTGGGGAAAAAAAAGAAAAACCTGTTTCCGTGTGCAAAAGCACGCATATGTATGTCTGCGTTATAAAATGACTGTGCTTGTTCCTAACAGATGCAAACAAGAAAGAACTGGAAAGTCTTTATCCCTGGGAAATCCAAAGGGGAAGGAATGTGGTGTTGGTTTGGCTTTCTGGTTGGCCCAGTTGGCCTGTTGGCTCAATGGGAAGAGAGGAAAGGGAGAAAAATAAAATGAAAGGGGGAAAAAACTCTCGGGAGTTTGCAAATTCAGACAGGAAACAGGTGAGTGGTTTGAATTGGATGCAGTGTGGGCCATTCTGGAATGATACTGACTTATCAGTTATTCTTGATAACATCTGATGAAAAGGAGAAGGAAAATGTTTCTGGAGAATGTTCTTCCACATCCCTGGAATCTGCAATTGAAGAGGTGGCAAGGGAGAATTCTTGCCTTACCTGCGGACTGGCTTAGGCCATGTGGCATCCAAGGAATGTTTCAAATGTGTCCGTGTTTCTCTTTACATTCCTTATTGTACCTCATTGTTCAATTCACTTTTGTAAATTCCACCTAACATTTAAATATTTTTAATTTCTCCTTTTACCTTAATCTCCTTGCTAATTTTATCTGTCTAATTAAAATGAGCAGAAGCATGTCTGGGTTTACATAGAATGGCATCAGAGTGTGTGTCCCTGGACTCCAGCAGGTTGTTCCCAACTTTTGGGAGAATTCTTAACAGCCGTCCTTTCTTTCCCCTAATAGGGGAGGGGGGGAACACATCCCTGACCTCATGGCTCCCAAGAAGCAAAATATATTAGACTCAATGAGACTGATGTGACCCAAAGGAAAAACTGAATAAATATGAGGCTCCGAAGATTCAAATATGAGGCATTAGAAGTCACAGGCAAACAAACATCAGCAATCACCCAGAATACATGATTAGCCCTGGCTTTAGTTTATACACTACATTTGAGAAGTTCACATCCAGGCCAATTTTGTAAAATTTAGACGGCTTGCTTGTGGTGTATCTACGGATGTGCAGTTGGGGGTGGAAGGATGCCAGGCAATAAAAGGAGCTATGGCTCCCAAGAAGCTCATTTAATGCATATTTAAGGTGATATCGGCCTTTCCCTCTAGTCCTTGGTAACTTTGATTTGGGGAGATTCTTACCTTCTGAAGTCATTAGCCAAGATTCACTGTAGCAGAAAGCTCCTTCAAAGAAGCTCCTAGGCCTTGGGGTGCAGCTCCAATTCAGGGGAGCACATCTTAAAGCTCTTGTGCTTAACCCCCTGAGGGCATGAGTGGATGGACAGGACTCCTTTCAGCAGGTTCACACATGTCTGCAAAGGGCTTCAATCCAGCCTCACAGGTAGAAGAGAAAACTTTTCTTTATTAATTGCTTACCAATTCCACGCACAATTTACTAATTACCCCAAAGACCTCAATCCACGAAGTGTCTACAAGTCTAGGCAATTCAGCTAATCTACTCTCAATTTTCCACAGGAATAAGTTTTAATTTGTCACCAAATTCCTCTGACAGAATCTTGGTAACCCGAAATCCTTACTGTGCCTTCACCAGTGACAACCCACCTCTGTCTGTGGACAGAGCAGGTGAAGGTCCTGTCAAGGCCTTTGGTTTGGTTTTGCCATAAGGCCCCAGAAGCAAAGAGAGAACCCAAAGTGCACGAGAGGAAAGCATGAGGGGACGCAGAGCAAGGGCCGGCAGCCTCAAGGCACAGTCCTCCGGAGGGCCGGCCTGCCCAAGTGCACAACACCCCCCACCACAGTGCCTCACGAGCCACCCCACCCCACACCCAGACGGACCACAAGAGCACGTGACATGTGAAGGGGGATGAGGTGTGTCGCTGGTGAGCGAGACCTCACACATTACCTCTGTAGCACTGGGCCAGTCATGACCCTCTCTGGGTCTCAGTTTCCTCATCTGTTTGACAGGAAAGTAATACCTACCCTGGATGAAGAGTAACATTCTTCAGCAGGTTCTCTATGTCAGGCACTTTCCCAAGTGCTGTGCAGGCTTGAACTCTCTTCCTCACTGTGATCTTGTAAAGTAGTAGCAGGTAATCTATCGTTCCCAGTTTGGGGACAAGGAAACTGAGAGACACACAATGATAGAGTCAGGATTGTGACTCAGGCAGTCTGACTCCCTGCTCCTAACCTCTGCCTCCTCTCAAGCATAAGCATGCAGTGGCATCCCTAAGAGGGATTGTTAGGACAGATCACAGGCCCCACCTTTAGGTTTCTGATTCAGCAGGTGCAGAGTAGAACCTGAGAACTTGCACATCTCACAAGTTGCCGGTGGTGCTGATGCTGCTGGCCCAGGAACCACACTGTGAGAACCGCCGCTGTACACTAATCCACCTTCCTGAGAATTAGTGATAATAGATATATAAAAAAATGGCTATCACTCCCTGGTTCAGAGAATGACAGTCATCGAGGTTCTTGAGATACCCAGAAAGAGGGGCATGAACCCTCACACTCTTGGCCATGAAGTGGCGGCAGAAGCTGGAGGGAGTCCTGCTATGTCTCACACAGGGGTGTCTGTGCTGATGGCACTTTGGGCTCCCAGGGGTTTTACTCACACCCTCAGAGGAGCTCCCTGGGGAGAATGCTCACTGGTGGTGAGACCCCAGTCCTCTAGATTTTAGTGACACTTGCTGCCTCGTCATCAGGCAGGGGATTAAATATAACTTGGACCTTTTCTTGAAAACATCCTTTGCACAGTGGTCCTGAGAGCCAGGCTGAAGAGATGGAGTCTGTAGCCGTGCCATGCAGCCCAGGGCATGGCTCACAGAGAGGGGACCCCTGAGCCAGCACACTTGCCAGGACTCAGGTGGGTGGAGATCCCATCGGGGCAGCTGGGAGGGGATTACTTAATGTTCCTGGGTCAGGGGTTATGGGAATGGAGATGATTTGTGGGAAAGCTGTAGAGATTATGACCACCTTCCTGTGCTCTTTCTCTGCCCCTTTCCAGTATTCAAAAGAAATGACTAGTAGAGAGGTAAAGTGTAGATAAATCTACAGAGCACATGTTTATGGCATCATCTGGGTGTCTCTGGAGCTCACAGATGTCAAATAGTTTCATGCATTACTGAAAATATATGCTTCTCCCCACCTTACACCTCCCACAATATTATGTGTAGAGCCAGTCACTGGGCTCTCCTTGATGTCATCTGGGATGATTGAAATTAAATGAGGGCTTGAAGTTTCCCTTGACCATGCACTTGTGGAGAGAAGAGAGAAACAGTGAGACTGAGGAATAGGACTCCAGGTATACTGGGGGGCAGGGGGAGTGAGACATATTGCAGGAGGGAGAGAATCTTATGCAAGATTCTAACAGTTCAATTCTGCTCTAATAAGGTCTTTGTGGGTTAGCCTGGGAACTTCATTATCATTTTAGAAATACTAGTGGCTCTGGCACCAGCTGGCAGAGGGCATGATTAGGTCCCTACAAGGGGACTTAAGTGAGGGGAAGAAGGCATGATGTGACGGGTATCAGCAGCAAACAGGTTCCTTCCTGTGTCCTCAAAGGATATCCAGTGTGACAAGAGGCCCTAAGATTCATGTCAGGGTGAGCTCTGCATTCACTGAGCCTCGCAGTTCATATCAGGGTCATTTTCAAAAGTAGCCAGAGGTTTTGCATTGTCCAAGATAGCAGTGGGACTGAGGGTGGGGACAGTGGTAGAGGGGAGTCCCTGAGGTCACAGAAAGCTGTCAAAGGGGGTAGGAGGGTATCTGGATCACACTGAAAGGTCATTCAAGTTGGTTGAGGTCAAACACCAACTGTGTTCAGGGAGTCTCTTAGACCAGCAATTTCCAAAGGAAAACAGGTACATGAAGTCTCAGAACAAACTCTCAGCCCCCTTCAGAGAGTACAGACCCTGGTGTATATGGTGTGTGGTGGGGGATATGATCTGCAGGTCTCAGTTAAGGGTGGGTGGGGTGGACAGACCCTGGGCAGTGGTAGATGGGCCTCATCGCACATCTGGGAGAAAGGAGAGCTCCCCACTCCTGCACCCGCCCTGAGCTGGCCTTACTACCACAGGCCCCCATGGATTCTCATGCCTCTGCAAGTCACAACTTGGGACATAGCATCCCATCCAGAGCCAGTAATTCCCAAAGTGAGGGTGGACACAGGGCCTGTCCTGTCACACCTGTGAACTCAGCACTTAGCACACTGCCAGACGCATGGAAGGCACTAAATAAATGTTTTGGTGATTGAAATAAGTTTGAATTTAGAAAGTTTAACATGTCATTTTCTCACCTGCAGTAGTCCATGACCTTAAACAGCATGCTTTAAAATAAATTAATCCCTAGATATTTAGTTGCAATCTTTCTCAATTACTTTTAACTGCTATCAATCGTAGCCTATTCTAATTTTAGTTTTGTGAAGTTTAAAACACTTCTTTTTAACTCTGTTTGAATCTTTAACACAATGTCACAATTCCCAGAGCTCCAGCCTGGGGTAGAGCAGCCTCCTGCGGAGTGTCAGTCACTGTGCAACAGCCCTGAGATTTGGAAATGAATTTGATACTGTCCCTGGTACAATAGAGGAAAACCTGAAGGGCAGTGAAGAGCACAGGGAGAGGCCTGTCCCGTGAGAGCAGAATCAGGGCTGTGTCCTGCTAAGTGACATCTGTCTGGACAGGGAGGATGGGCAGGACTTCTCTGGCCAGAGAAGCTTCTTTGGTGTTTTTTACAGCTGCCTCTATGCTAAGACTCTCTTCCAAGAATTGTTTGTCCTTTCTAAAGCTATCATTACTCCAAGAATTCCTATTGCTTCCTTCTCACTAGAAAGAGAAAAATAAGGTGAAATAAGAAAGCAAAACAAACACGGGCAAATTAGCTACTTCAAAGCTACAGAGATCTTGAGCCCATGCTATTCTGTTCTTCTAAAAGAGAGGGGTTCTCTTTACCCCCTCAAGGCTTTGATTTCTTCCTCTGGTCTTATTTAAATTCATATTTGCATCTACATGAACAACTGCTGTAGCTCTGCAAATGGATTTGTGAGAGAGAATATGAGGAGAAGTAAATTCCAACCACAATTTTTACAGCAGAACTCAACTTCGTAAATGACTTAAACAAGGAAATAAACAGGGCTATGGGAGCACAGAGCCATGCCATGAGCACTGCCATGGTCCCAGGTGGTTAAAGAAGGCATCCCCAAGGGAGTCTGCTGAACAGCGGCCTGAGCAGTTATCAAGCTGGATGGGGGTGTTAGTAGTGGAACTCGGATTGCAGGTAGAAGGAGAAGCAGGGGCCGAGGGTCAGAAGCCAGAGAGTAGCTGGTGTGTTTGTGGACTCCCACACTGCTCATCAAGGGTAGGGGACAGTGTGCACCCGGTGAGTAGCTGGAAGGGCAGTGAGTGGGGGCTAGAGCATGACGAGGGATCAGGTATGATTCTGAGTGCAAGTGTGGGTCAAAGCAAGGGAATCATGTGTTACACAAATCACTCTGGCCACAAAATGGATAAATGGAATGGCAAGAACTAAACTCAATTCAGGGAGACTAATCAGGAGGCCGGTGTGATAATTTAAGCAAAATATGACATTGGGTGAAGGTAGCAATGGGGGTGGGGTCATTCAAGCCATAGGAAGGAGGTGAGAGCAGCAGAGGGGAGGCAGATTGGCTGTCAGGACTGAGGGAG